TCCAGTGCCAGCTATGGGGTCCTCTATCTTTGGCACAACCAGTCCTCCTGGCAGTAGGCACCCTATTCATTTTAGTCAAACCACGTTCCTCTAAAACACTAAATTTCCAAATTTTTCCAAAATCCCTCACTGCACACAAAATAAATTTCCTACATCCCAAGATTTTAGGTAAAACATAAGATTGGCTGGAAAACTAGGATTCTGCAGATTTACAAGTGCATGAGATAGGACCTCAGGTAAGTCTAGGCTTCAGTTTTCTCCCTAAATCTTTAAGGATCATGTGCCATGTTTAACTTGTGGCTTCACGTATCCCCTGAGAGACCGCCACATCCTCCCAGGATCGACGCATTCCTGCTTAAGAAGGAGGACACTGTGTAAGATATCAAACAAAACTACGGACTCTTTTATACAATGCGATACCATGCACAATGCACATCTGTGGACCGACTAAATTTTACCTTTATACAAAATTAGTCCAAAATCAATGAGCAAAATTAGTATGATAAAAGGTATTTTTTTCATGTTATTAAACCACACAGGATATATTTCAGAAACATCCAAGTTCAGAAGAGGCAGAAGGATGAAGCACTTCCTAGTGGAGATGTTCTAAATGATAAATAACCACAAAGATCCTTTTATGTAATTTCCAATAATGCAAATTTAAGGCTTTACAAATTCTCGCCACTAGTCATGCAGCTCTGCAGTCATATCACAGATTGGAATTAAGTAGGAAAAGATGAGTCTAAATTAGTAAGATTCCTGAATTACAGAATTTTGGAAAGAAATATGATGAATTTTATTTAGCTTTAATTGTACACAGAAACCACAATTAAGCTACAATGTGTTAACACAATAGAACAGCTTTGTGGGGCCTGTGCAGAGCGGCTGTATTTATGTGGGGAATGTGTTGCTGAAGGCTAATCTCACTGGGGATAGCAGGCATTTCTGTTTAACATCGAAAGTGGCACAGTTTCCATTCACCAGGCCTGCCAAATTGTATAATTCTGAAAAAAATAGTTTTCAATTTACAGGGATAAATATTACTTCAAATATTGTGTATAAATGAGACTTTATTGATATTTTATGTTTTACCATTTCAGAGTCACACAATTCAAGTTCGCATAAAGTGTGAACATACTTTATAGGACATATTTAAAGGCAATAGAAATAGTGATCCCCCAGGGTCTTCATGTAGTAAGTGAATTTGCTTCATAACCCTCTCCTTCAGAGATGGGTCAGAGGAAACTGTGGGTCTGCCTCCCTCTGTCTGTCCATTGTCTATTGCAGCACATGCTTCTGCAGAGGAGGAGCCTGGATAGTGACAGTGACCAGAGCCCGAGGTGGTAAGCAACGCCCAGGAGGAAAGAGCGTCCTCATGCCCAGCAGAGAAGCTCAGGGCCTACCCCGCCCACAGCACAAGCCATTCCTTCCCCACAGACCCCAGGATGGGCAACAGTGAACAGAAACAGCATTCTCAAACCAACAACAGAACTCTGAGATGACGTAGATGAGCCCACCACTAAGAACAACCAAATGTCTGAGGAAAATCTCTACAAGAGCAAGGCACCAAACTCAACAGTAGAACATACGTGTAAAGAGAAAGTGGATAGAGAAAAAGCCAAGGTTTCAAAATAACAACTATCTTCAGAGGGAAAAGGGAGAATATCATGGGAATAAATAAGAATAGACTTCTTTCACTTCCTAGAAATGAAAAATAAAATCGTAAAAATTAAAAATTTAAGAGGTAGATGATAGAGAATGCATACAGCCTGAAAAGCAAATTACCATGCTGGCAGATTGAGCTAACAAATTCTGCCAGAACTCACAACCAAAAGAAAACGATACGGGAACTGTGAATAGACAGTTATAATATTTGAAGGATAGAACTAGTAGTTCTGGAACTAGAAGTTCCAGAAAGAAAGAATAGATACGTTGGAGGAAAGGAATTAATTTTTTTAATTATCAAAGAAATTATCAATGGGACGGCTTTTGAGCTTGAATACTAGGGTCTGCAGATTGAAATGGTTGAAAGAGAGACAAGAATACACAAACATATGAAAAAATAGGCAAACCTAGACTATCAATAGACTTGGTGATATGGAATTTCATAAAAGCAAAGAAAAAAAGGGGCCGGCCTGGCAGCATAGTGGCTAAGTTCGCACACTCTGCTTCAGCAGCCCGGGGTTCCCAGGTTCACATCCCGGGTGTGGACATATGCACTGCTCATCAAGCCACGCTGTGGCGAGCATCCCACATAAAGGAGAGAAAGATTGGCACAGATGTTAGCTCAGGGCCAATCTTCCTTGGCAAAAAGAGGAGGATTGATGGTAAATGTTAGCTCAGGGCTAATCTTCCTCACCAGAAAACCAAACCAAACCAAAAAAAAAAAAAAAAAGGAAAAAGAAAAAAATCCTAAAATCATTTAGAAAGGAAAAAAAAGGCATTTCCTAGGAAGAAATAAGATCCAGATGGACACTGACATCTATTCAGCAACACTGCATGCAAAAAGACTAGAGCAATATCCCCACAGTTATGAGAGAAAAGAATTCTTAACCTAGAACTCTATACCCAGTCAGATTGACACTTAAGTGTGAAGGTAAATGACAGGCTTCAGAAAGTTCCCACCTCGAACTCTCTCCAGAAAATTACAGGAAGATGATTACCAGCAAAACTAAAAAGGAAACCGAAAAACAGAAGTGAGTATAAGAAACAGTGATGAGCAAGGAAACAAACGTGACTTGGAGATAAATTTAAATAAATGCTGATAATAAAATGATTCACAGCAATCCGGAATGAAATTACCAGCTGCTCTCAACACTTGCAGTGGTAGAAGGGCGGGAAAGGTACAGTCAGAGCATGTGAGGGTCTCTGCTGGGGGAGAAGGGGGAGAGGAGAGACAGACAGACAGAGACAGACAGAGAAGTTTAGGTACTGAGAAAAATACATATAATACCTCAATTTAAACTACACTAGAGGTGTTGAAGTACAATGTACACCTTGAGAGAGAAAATGGAAAGCAGCAGCAACAACAACGAAGAGCACAGTCACACCAACAAACAGCAAGAGAGGAAAAAAACACAAAGTATTATAAATGGAAAAAGTAAGATAGGAGGAATAGCTCCAAACACTATTACAGTAGTCATAATAAATATAAACAGGTTAAAGGAACCAATTAAAGATCAAGGACTCTGAGTTTGGCCAAAAAGGCAAAAGGCAGCTATGTTTTATTTATCAGACACATATTTTAAAAAAATTGACACAGGGCGGTTGAATTAAGAGATTGAGAAAGATAAACCTGATACAGCTAACAGAAAAATAAAATTAGTAAAAATAGTTTCAGGAAAAATGAGATCTAAGGAGAAAAGTATTGGAAAGGACAAAGAGGAATGTTTGATGGAGATAAGATCCACTAGGACCAGTGTGAGCAGCCTGGATAAAATGCTCGTGCCCGTCATTTGTGAAATCTTGTCATCACTGGGCTGGGTGTCTTTGTTAAGTCAGTGAAGAAAACAAATCCCAAGCCTTCATGGAGTCTTGTTCTAGTGGAAGGCAGACAGACAAAAAAACACTAAGAAATAATCAGACTAGATAGTATGTCAGATGGGGCTAAGTGCTAAAAAATAATAGATAAACAGAGAAGGGTGACAGGGAACGCAATTTCAAATGAGGCAGTAAAAGAAGGCCTTATGAGAGCGTGACATAGGAGCCAAGAATTCAAAGAACTGAGGAAACAACGATGCAGATTTCTGAAGGAAGAGAATTCCAGGCAGAGGCGCAAGAGCTGGAGGGAGAAGTGGGCTCAAGATGGGAGAGGGAGGCAGCGAAGGGAGGAAAAACCAGACATCTGCGAAACAGAAACTAAGCTCCCCTCCCTGAAGGATTTCAGAAAGTTTCAAAATAAAACACATGAGATCAGCTATCTGAAAATCGACATAACCCAAAAGGTTACTAAACGGAAGAGAACTTCAGAAATGTGTGAAATCCATTCAAGGAGACGTGAATTCAATCTAAAGAGATGTTACTGGATTGTGACTATGACTAAAATCACTTAAACCTATTGACTGTATTGTCCCCACTGCACCCACCGTGAAGGAAGACTGCCTTATAAGAGCAGGGCTGGTTTGAGCAGGATTCATAAGACAGGAGTCTGAGAGACAAAATGTGGCAATGCCTTTCCAGCAACGTCTGTGGGAAATGGTATATTGATTACTAGACTTGAAAAGTGGGGCTGGATAGTAGAGAGATTTCTCATTTTAATCATAAAGGTAGATATATCTGGGGACTATTAGGTTATTAAAATCCTCCAAATGACTTCAGGATCAGAAAGCAACTTTATTAATATTAGTTTCCCATATGGATTTCCTATAAGAGGAGAGGGTGCTTATCAAAGAGCTTGAGTGTCTAGTCCCAAGGAGACTTTGCCAATACATATTAATAATTTATTCTGATTTATTCATATTCTCATGTGAGTTTGGGTCTAGTCGTCAGCAGCCTGGAACTATCTGGATATACCGAAACAAAAGGGACCTGGAAGTGAAGGGCCAAGCTTTGAAAGGTAGTTATCACCCTGAGGTCGGGCGGGGTCAACCATTATTAGGCCTCCCAGGTATCACTCATTCCTCCTCTTTCATCCATCTAACCGTATGTTTGACATACTGTACTGAGGAAAGAGTACTGGACTTAGCAATCATCCAGGACTCTACTAGCCACACGACTCTGAGCAGTGTCACTTAATCTCTCCCACCCTCAGAGATTTACATGTCTTTTAAAATGGGAGTAATAACAGCTATTCCGTCTATCTCACTGGTTAGTTTCGAGGCTCAGAATCTAAATCTAAAACAAACAGCTGTCTGAAGAGAAGGTATTAATGTTCTCATCACTACATGCCCTGTAGCCTGAGTATATTCTTGATATACTGAAGCACACTACCACAATTATCTGCGAATTGAAGACAAGACGAAAAACCACTAACCCACTGAACAAAATATAGGAAATCCTACCTCTCAGCAACTGGTTTGGCAATGCTTTCAAAAATGGTCTCTTGGTTTGCATCCTGATCAAAAATCCTTTGGAATCTGCAAATGTGAAAACAGTAATTATTTAAAAGCTGAGCCTTCAAACACTATCGGATTAATCATTTTTTTTCCCTGAAAGCTTTGTAAATTACCCCATCTTTACATCACTGGGCCTACCTAAGCTAACACAATGTCCGCCCTGTAGTCCCAACCACACTGCGCTGTTGTACCCCTGTATACAAATGGTGGGTAAACAGTATTGCTTTGACAAGATCTGTACAATAATCCCTCTGAAGAGCTGCAGCAGCTTTGAACCAAATAATAAACTGTGTGTTTTTCAGCTCTCAAGAGGAACAGTGTCCGCAATTGGCATCAAATTCAAATCTAGATAAGTGCATGAAATGGAAACCCGAGACAGGATGTAAACAGCCAAAGAACTTCTGAGGTCTGACCTATAAGAAAAGAACACAGCTGTGAAATGTATGATGATTGAACTTCATTTAAATTTTCAGTTTAAAATTTTGAACAGAAGTTTATTTTCCATTCATTAGGGGACTGCATCCTTGTATCAGCCACTTAATTCTCAAGATGGTTTTGTTTCATTTTGTTGATCATGAGTCAAAAGTCAAAAGATAAATTAAGATAGACCTGTTCTGCAAAGAGAGTCTTTATCAGATTGGCAGGGCTAGGAACGTGGTGGGGTGGAATGGTGTCAATTTCACCCTTCTTGCAATGGCACTCAGACTTCACTTCGTACAGGATCACACGCACAATGGAATACTTGGGACAGGAGACACACAACACAACCTACGCTCTACAGTGTGGTAAGTTGCTACCAGCGATTATGGCCCCATTAAAACATCATGAAGAAAGAGACAGAGAGAGAAAGGGATGGGAAGAAGGAAAGGAGGAGAGAGGAAGAGGGTGAGGAGAAGGGGGAGGAAAAGAGAGAGCGAGCGAGCATAAGCATACAGGGCAAAATATTAACAATTGCGAATCTCCCACAAAGGGGATGGGAGAGTTGATTACATTATTCTTCCACCTTTTTTGTACATTCAAAACTTTTTAAAATAAAGGAGGGGGGCACTTTAAAGCAAAAACTCTAAAACAAACACTTTGAGGCCATCCGAAGAAGCTTTCAGAGTAGTTTAAGAACCTTTGGTCTATGTGTCTGCCTATGCAAGTGAATTGGGCACAGGTTCAATTAAAGCAGAGATGGCATGAAATGTAGGACTGCTGTCACTATGGAGGAGTTCGGAGGGACGTCTGGAGCTGGGCTGGAAATACAAAATGGAATGGAATTCATTGTCTTTAATCAACATTAACTTCAAAAGACCCCTATAGCTTATTAACCTCCCTTTTGAAGAAGCAAGTGATGAAATGTATACAAAGAGACATTGTCAGGCACTCTGGCTACGACGTCATTTAGCAGGGAAGGTTATATCTTAGATAGCAATATTTGCTGAGTGTGCCCAGAACACTTCTCGAAACCCTATAGGTATATCAGAGCTTCAGACTTAACACTGGGGACGTGGCTGCTCAAGTGCTCGTCACGGCACTGCCTACTGTGACATCTGAGCACAGACGCAGTGGGGCTTTTGATGAGGATGATGATAAGGCTGATTTGCTTCTTTTACCGGGTCAATGATGACTGAGGGAATCAATTATCAATCCCCAACTCTACTCCCTTAAGTAACAGGAATTACATCTACCACCGAATAAACCAAAGAGACGGCAGGAGTGTCAATAAATCATACAAGCTTCATTAAACATCAAATATCATCATCCCCAAATATTTTATTTTACATAATGTAGTTGCATAGTAAACTGAAAAGACATTATAATCAGCTAGCTTCTGAAAATCACTGAAGAACAAAATAGAATCATAGATTCAACAAGTTCAGTCTAATCCTCCATGGAGGAAGAAGTTGAGGCCCAAGGAGATAAAGCAATTTACTCATGGCCCTGGAACTAACCAATAAAGCACCCTGAGTTTCCTGATTCCTAGGAGGTCCTTTCATTTATTAGGAAGTTGTGTAGGCTCTTCCTACACTCTATTTTGAACCTGGCATATGCTGATCTCTTCGCACCCCAAACTTGTTCTTCCTGGTCTTCCTCATCCCAGTAAAGGACAACTCCATCCTTCTAAAAGTTCAGTCTAAAACTCTTAGGGCTTCCTTGACTCCTCTCTTTCCATTACACTCTATATCCAATCCACCAGCAAACTCTGTCAACTTTGACCTTCAAAATAAATGCAGTATCCAACTTTTTCTCAACATTTCCACTTGCTACTAACCTAGCCCATGCTCCCGGAATTTCTTGCCCAGTCTTCCTTGCAATAGCCTAATTGGTCTCCCTTGCCCCCTTACAGCCTATTTTCCACACGTTAGCAACAATGATTCTGCTAAAACGTAAATAAGATTATTTCATTCTTCTGCTCAAAACCCTCCATGATCTTCCCATGGCACATTGGGAAAAGCTCCATATGATCTGGCCACTCTGTTGTCCCTGTAACCTTCTTCTTCCCCTCTCCCCCTGGCTTACCCTTCTCCTGCTACACAGATCCCTTTACTTTTCTTCAAACATGCCAGGCACTCTCCCATCTCAGGGACTTCACTCCTGCTATATCCTCAGCCTGGAATTCCCATCCCTCAGATACTGGACCATCTGGCTTCCTTACCTCCTTCAAGTCTCTGTTCAAACATCACCTTCCTGTATACCTCCCCTGACTGTCCTGTGAAATATCGCAACCATCCCTCCCCTTGCTGCCCCTCATCTCAGCACTTCCTGTTCCCCCTCCCTACCTTGGTTTCTCCATGGCACTTAACACTTTCGGACACACATTTTACTTACCGATCTGCTTGTCCGTCTCCTCCCACTAAAATGTAAGGACCGTAAGAGCAGGAGCTTTGTTGGGTTCCCTGCTATAATCCTAGCCATTCAAACAGCACACACTGGATGGTCAACAAATATTTACCAATTGAATGAATTTTTTTGGGGGAAAACAACCTTTAAAATGCTTAAATATTTATCTCTGAAGATATGTATAAGTTAACTATTTAATTTCTTTATTTAAAATACTAAACGAACATTTTTAATTCAGAGATTTAGAAAGAATGATTAAGAGATTTAAAGACAAGCAAATAGCACGTTTTCAATAAGCACATGTTTAAATGCACTCTATTTGTATCTACATAATATAAATACTTTGGAGAGGACCAGCAGCTAGAGACATGGTCTATTGTTTTTTAACAATCAAACAGAATCATGCTGAATAAAATGTTTTAGCAAATTGTGGCTCTACAGAGACTGGCCGAGGCCAGGTGTCACGATGTCATAGCTACTAAGGTGTGTAGCATGCTTACCTCAGTGGGAGGATACCCCCTTCAGAAAAGGAAGTCATGTAGTAAGGCTACTGCTTAACAGATAGAAGGAAAGGCAATGAGGAGTCACAAAGATGAGGTGAGTATCACCCCACTATGCAATCACGTGCTAGCAATCCTGCTTGTACTTATAGTAAAAAGAGACACAAAGAGGAAATGGGGTGGAGGTGGAGGGAGAAATATATACATGAGAGACAAAGGGCAGAGTTGTGAAGACCAAAGAGAATCTTTATGAGACAAAAAATAAGAAAATAACAATTAGACAGATAGAGAGACAGAGAAAACCATAAAAAATATCTGGGATGGTTTTATCCAAAGGGCAAGGGCAGGAACGGTCTCAGAATAAGGCCTATGTAAACAGCCTAGAGAGAAACGCAAGAAAGGATGAGGACTTCTTCAGCAGGACCCAGAAATCCACCACCTAAGTTTGGGCCAGAAATCAAATATGGATTTAACTTGGGCTCAAACTTCTCCAAAAATCAAAAGTGGGGATTAAAAGAAATGGAATAATTGTAAATTGGAGAATAAAGACAGTATGAAACAGTCGTAATTCCAAATTTTGAAGCTTGGCTACTAGAAGAGTATTTGGATCGAAGGCACTGATGACAACCCAGGGGTGGCTGTTTGGTACTTTTCACCTGAACCACGCAGTCCAGCACCGTCCCAGAGAAATACAATGCAATCCATAAACCTAAGTATATATGTAGTAGCCACATTTTTTTAAAAAAGCTAAAAGACACAGGTGAAATTAATTTTGATAACATATTTTTAACCCAATATATCCAAAGTTTTATCATTTTAATGTGTGATCAATATGAAAAAATTCTTCACACACTTTACATTCTATTTTTTTCATACTAAGCCTTCAAAAATCCTCAATATATTTTATACTTACAGCACATCTCAATTTGGACCAGCTACGTTTCAAGCGCTTAAGAGTTACATGTGGCTAGTGGCTGTTATATTGGACAGTACAGATATACTGTGTACCTATGTGCTTATGAGATCTGTATGTCATTTATGTGATAAAGAATGATCACCTGTACAGCACACAAATTGTATCTTTAATAAAGTTTAGTCCTGCACTGAATTTCCTACAGGAACGATCTTGGCATATCACTTCAGAGACAGAAACACACCATCTTTTCAACTTTGGGAGCAGCAGAGAAAAGACAACATGAATTCCATCTACTATGTGAGATCGGGAACTGCTTTACATTCTCCCCAAGAAATGGTGCCAACGACTTCACAGTGGACATGAACGCAGTCCAAGAGGCGGTTCAAAAGGAAAACAGGAACAAAGAAGGAGAAAGAAAAACTTACTTAAATCTGTAGTTTTCTCGTTTATTATTCACAAACCCATCTGCCAAATCACGAGGTAAGATAATTTCCAAGCTAGGTGTTAATTTTTCATCTTCATCTATGGAATAAATCTGCAAATATGAAGACAACAAATCAATATACAATGGTAAAATCACAGCTTCAGCTATGACCATGTTATTATGACACGCATCGTAATGGTATAAAAATTGTATTTTTAAGGCAAAAAGTCATAATATAGTATATTTTGGATAATTTTCCTCTTTGAACTGTGTGCAGACTCAAACAAATATATGGAACTAAACAAGAGGTATAAAACCTAAATCAATGCTCTATCAAAGCTCAGATCCTCTTTAAATGATCTAATGTTCAAATTTGAGCATTAGAGTGTCTCTGTTGTTGAGAAACTAACAGGCCTAAAAGCCACATATCATCTAAGTGTTGCTTTAGAATTACGTACCAGAAATTAACATTTTACTACAACCAACAAGGATTTCTGAGCATTTACAAAATGCTAGACACAGAGATAAAAGGATTAGGTCTGAGACTTCTCAGAGAGTCCACAAGAATGCTCTAATTCAAGTTACGTTCAAAGAAGCCCAAGTTTCCATGAGACATATTCAGGCATTTGATAAAAGACATGTGGCTTCAAAGAACACATGTAATTCATGCCTTTGATGTCATTTTCAAGGTTCTCCTGGAAGCTCAGCCACTAATTAGCAAATGACCTAGGAGAAATCACTTAACCTGTGTAAGCTGAAATGGAAACGAAGGGTCTTAACCAACCCCTTGCAACTGTGATATTCTCTGATTCTCTTCTTGGTCACCTACTCCTTTATTTATTGGCCAGGAAAATCAAGAGTCAAGCCTATATATAAAGAGGTCATGAGGAATAAAGAAAAGCATAAGATTTGGTGTCCAAAGACCTGGGGCAAATGCTGATCTCAATTTACCAGCTGTGTGACCAGCCACCACTTTCAGAATCTTGGTTCCTTCTACATAAAATGAAGAAAACAGTTACCTCCCATATGAGATTGCTGTAGGGATCAAATGATGTCATGGAAATGGAAGCATTTTGTAATGCACCATAAAAAATGTTAGTCACTAGATTTAGAAGTTTTTTTAAAAAGACTTCTTGTCTTCCACCAGGAAATAAAATTCTTTCTAACAGGCAACACTTTCTGTTTAAGACCCATTTAGATGCTTGATTATGGGGGGAAAGTCATATTCTTAAAAAAGTAAAAGCCTACCTAAATCTCCAGAAAGTCTGAATAATTTTCCTAAGCAGATTTTTATTGAACCCTCTCATTTAAAATGTGAAGAATTCCTGTAGAAAAGTCATTCTGTAAACTAAAATTATTTGTGTAAGTAATGGTATCAGGACCAAGGCTTTCTGGCTAGGTTTGCTCAACAGACATTTAAAAAGTATATCCTGTAGGGCACTACATTAAAAAAAAAAAAAAGGTTAACAGCTAGACAGGTGAGTGAAAGGGGTGTGTAAGACGTGAAACATGCAAGAATGAGGGTGCCATATGTTGAAAAAAAATCTGCCACACTCAGTGCTCAGAAGACAAAAAGGACCATCGACTAGAGTAGGAATAATGACCCTCCACCACTCTCATTAAGCCACTCTCTGAGGCATTAAAAAAAGTCCCTTAATAATCAGAAAGCTTGTGTTAGTCTAATAGATCGGCATTCTACCCTTAGTCTTAAAAATATTTGAGATAGAGTAGGTTTTTTCAGAAGACAATTAGATCAAATGCAAGGAGGAATATGAAAATGTTCTGAAATATGCAAAGCAGCATACAAATGAAAAGCATGGCCATTGTTAAAATTGGCACAGAGCTTCATCCTATGTACCTTCTAATTTACTAATCTATAAATTATTATAACTTATAGTGCCTCAAGAAATAAGACTAATGGAACAATGGAACCACAAAATGAAGAGGAAAGAAAGAAAAATACCTTTGAATCACTCTTGGTTTAATGCTACAAGCAGCATTTTCAGTCAGAGAAACAACCATACAATCTTTGGGGGGCAAAAAGATAGGGTGCTAAAAGTGGGATTCCTAAGGGAGAGCAAGGCTACACTAACTCAAAAACTGTTCGTCTGTGTTCTCTTATTGTTGTGTATGTGGCATAATGTTGCCTCTCCATAAGAATCTGGCATTTGGGGGCCGGCTCAGTGGCATAGTGGTTAAGCTCACAAGCTCTGCTTCAGTGGCCAGGGTTCGCAGGTTTGGATCCCAGGCACGGACCTACACACTGCTTGTCAAGCCATACTCTGGCTTGTCAGGCCACATATAAAATAGAGGAAGACTGGCATAAATGTTAGCTCAGCGACAATCTTCCTCAAGCAAAAAGAAGACGATTGGCGAGGGATACTAGCTCGGGGCCAATCTTCCTCACCAAAAAAACCACAAAAAACCCAGACTATGACATTTTTAAATAAAGTATGACACCTAAAAATATTTCCTAGAGTATCAAATAATCCACTTCACAGAACCTCACCAAAGAAATGCAAAAGGAGAGAAATGCACGTTAAAATATCCAAACATTGCATTTTAAGAAAAGAGACAGTTCAATACAAAATCCAAGATTCTCCAACAACCAACAGCCCCCACGCCCATTCTACTCATCGTCTCACATCACCATATCCGAGGACTTGCTTCTGACTATCGTATCTGACTGCTGAGTTTATGTATATAAATTCAACAATTTTGGCTTAGAGTCTGGGGGGGATACATGTTGCGTATAGTATATTTTTTACATATGATGTACCTTTAAAAACTTTCTTGTAAGTGAATGTAAGAGGAGAGAAAATAGGAAGATACTCACAGTTCCTTTCTACATTGCTTTATTCCTTAAAAAAACAAACAAAACAATATTTTCTTTGGAGTCTTCTCCTAAAGGTACTCCATGAGTAAAAAGATTAATGATCACGATAATGACAAAGACACTACATTCTCCTTTTTTAAAATAACATAAATTACATGAGGCAAATGCTAAATTATGACATGCTATGATGCCACACATATACATATACACAGTATAGATATGGGAAGGGGATAAAATATTATCAATAACACATCCATTCCAGGCACCCATGAATATGACCCAGATTGCCCTTGCCTAAGTCCTCATTTTGTGGAGCAAAAAGGTTTTGTGTGAAGAGCCTCGAGTTTTGGAATAAAAAATCCTTAATCAAAAGCAGGGTTCTGCCGCTCATTAGGTGGGCGGTTTGGCCACATTATTTAATCTAGTTGACACTCAGTTTCCTTATCTATAAAATGAGGAAAATGACATCAGCCTTGCAGGGTTCCCATGAGAATCACGGATAACGTAGACAAAGCACCCACTTGGTAAGAACGACTAGCTCCTTTCCAGGGAGAGGAAACAACATTTCGAAACATTTATGAAGCATTCCAACTCTCTCTGCTCAGAGCAAAGGCGGTCTCAACCTTCTTTGTCCCGCTGAATTTCGCTTACTAGAGGAAGCACCTTGTAAATGCTCAGTTAATGTTTTCTGAATAAAGAGTATACGTGTATTTTTTGTGTGAGGCTGCATACATACCTATCTATATCTGCAATGAGTACCTGTCAACGTTCATGCTTCTGTTGCAGAATGACAATATAGTTAGTCAACAGATTCGAAGGGCCCTATGCGCAGAGCCGCGTGTATGCTCTGTGTATCTTTATCTGTATCTATTATCTGCATCACCTTAGACATGTGTGGACACGCATCTCTTGCTCGCACGTTTTGCCCGAGTTCGAACATAAGCTTGAATGTATCCGAGCTGCGTGTCCGTTTCTCAGAAAGGAGCAATAAATGTGCGCAGTTGAGGCGCAGTCTACGTTGAGTGTACAGACACGTGTGCCCGGGCGCATGTCTGTGGCTCTGTGCAGGCTACGTCTGTGCCCGCAGGGCTGTGCTCGGTGGGAGTGGCCTGGGTGTCCATCTGTCCGCGTCCCTGACAGCGGCGTGCCGGTGTCTGCATGGCTGCCGGGGCGCCTCGGACCCAGCGTGCTGGACCCAGCGTGCTGGACACCGGCGGCACCCCTCACCCCTTGGCCCGGCCCAGGCCCTTCGCGTGCCGCCCCTTCCCCGGCCTGGGAGGCGCCGCCGCGCCTGCGCCCCCGCTGCTCAGACCCGTACCCCTTGCGGCTGCTTCCGGACAGTGGGCTTCACCCTGGCGAAAATCTGGATCGTCTGCTTCACCATCTCTTCCCTGACTCTGCACTGACCCTTGACCTCTCTTAGGCCCTGTCTCCCAAAACTTCTGACTCCCACCACCTCCGGCGAGCCGCAGCCTTAGCAACAGTAACTACGGACACTACCCAAGGAGCACCGCGCCAACCAGGACCGCCTCTCCTCCCTAATTGGTTGCTGATGGGTGGGGCGGCCCTAGGGGAAGGACTGGGGGCGGGGTGGGGACGGGACCGAGGGGAGAGTGCTGCGCATGCGCTCGATCAAGGTCCGGGCTCTGGGCTTAGTTAGCTCCAGAGCTGGGCTGGAGAGTGATCAATGGGGCGACAATCACCGTGTCTTGCCCTGTTCCTTAATCCATTCTTTCTCTGGGCCAACACCTCGTTTTAGCACTGAAGTCATTGTGTTTTTTATTGCTCATTCATTGAAGAAATGGCACAGTCTGTGACAGCAATGTGCTGGGTGGGGATCCTGGGTTAGCAGAACTGCCTCTGCCCACTTGGAGATCAGGGTCTGATGAAGAAGACAGATTTCCAATAGGAAATTGCAATCCCCACCGGGTGGGCACGGGATTCTGTGGAAGGGCACCTCATCTAGCTCTGTTTTGGAAGAAACCAACAATGGAGTAAGGGGGACTGTTTCCCATGCAATGGTCATGTCAAGAAAGGATGGGCTCCCTCTTGCTCTGTTGGTGGGAGTGTAAGTTGGTGCAACCATTATGGAAAACAGTATGGAGGTTCCTCAAAAATTAAAAATAGAGCTGCCATATGATCCAACAATCCCACTCCTGGGTTTATATCCAAAAGAATTGAAATCAGGATGCCAAAGAGATATTTGCACTCCCATATTCACTGCAGCATTGGCCAAGATATGGAACCAATCTAAGTGTCCACTGATGGATGAATGGATAAAGAATATGTGATATAAGTATATATAATGGAACATATTTTTTTACATACTGTATATATCTTTTATATCTATAATGGAGTTGTAAGTATATAAATATAAAGTGGAATGTTATCTTGCCATAAAAAGAAGGAAGTCCTGCCATTTGCAGCAACATAGCTGAAACAGGAGGGCATTATGCTAAGTGAAAGAGGTTAGACAGAGAAAGACGAATACTGCATGATCTCACTTATATGTAGAATTTTTAAAAGTCAAACTCATAGAAACAGAGTAGAATAGTGGTTGCCAGGGCCTGGGGAGTGGTGGAAATGGGGAGGTCAAAGGGTATAAAATTCCAGTTATAAGAGGAATAAGTTATGGGGTCTAATGTACAGCATGGTGACTATAGTTAACGATATTGTATACTTGAAAGTTGCTAAGAGATTAAGTCTTAAATGTTCTCATCACACACAAAAAGAGTACTTATGCGAGGTGATGGAGGTGTTAACTAATCTTATTGTGATAATCATTTTACAATATATACATGTATCAAAGTACCACCTTAAACTTATACAGTATGTCAATTATATCTCAATACAGCTGGAAAGCTAAGTAAACAAATAAAGGATGTACTCCTCAAAAGACACCTCTAGCACATAAAAAGATGTTCAGCATCATTATCCACCAGAGAAATACCCATTAAAATCACAATGAGATATCAATACACACCTATCAGAATGGCTAAAATAAAAAAAAGTGACAAAACCAGATGCTGACAAAGATACAGAGAAACTGAATCACTTTACATTACTGATGGGAATGTATAATATAAAATGTATCGTGGATAATGATATAGCCAATCTAGAAAACAATTTGGCAGTTTCTTATAAAACTAAAGATGCCACTACTATAAGATTCAGCAATTATGCTCATGGCCATTTATCTCAGAGAAATGAAAACGTGTTCACACAAAAACCTTTGCACGAGTGTTCATAGAAGCTTTATTTGTAATAGCTCCAAACTGGAAAAAGACCCAGATGTCCTTTAACCAATTAATGGTTAAACAAGCTGCGGAATACTATTCAGCAATAAAAGTGAGGGAACTACTGACACGTATAACAACTTGGATGAATTTCCAGGGAATTAGGCTGAATGAAAGAAGTCAGACTCAAAAGTTAAATGTTGTATGATTCCGTTTATATAACATTCTTGAAATGACAAAATTATAGAGATGGAGAGCAGATTAGTGGTTGCCAGGGGTTAGGGAGGCAGGGAGAGGGTGAGCTCACTATGGCTGTAAAGGGATCCTTGTGATGGACTGTTCTGCATCTTGACTCTGGTGGTAGTCACAGCAATCTACCTATGTAATGGAATTGCACAGAACAAAACACACACACATACACACACATAAATGAGTGCACATAAAACCAGTGAAAGGTGAATAATATTGAATAAGATGGGTGGATCATATCAATGTCCATTCCCTGGTTGTGATATTGTACTATAGTTGTGCAAGATGTTGCCACTGGGGGAAGGGTAGCAAGATCTCTCTGTGTTATTTCTTAAACTGCATGTGAATCTACAATTATCTCCAAATAAAACATTTTGAAAAGAAATTGTTAGAGAATAAAAAGACAAGCCACAAACTGGGAGAACATTTTTGTGAAACACATATCTGATAGAGGATTTGCATCCAGAATATCTAAAAACTGTTAAAACGCAATAATAAACAGGAAAGCAAACAACCCAACTTATTTTTTTTTAAAGAGGAAGGTCAAAGATTTGATCAGACACTTCCCACTATATGGATGGCAAGTATGCACATGAAAAGATGTTCAACATAATTAATCATTAATGAAAATACAAATTCAAACCACAATGAGATACCACTAGACACCTCTTAGAATGGCTAAAAATAAGAAAATAAAATGGGCATTACCAAAAGCTGGCATGGATGTAAAGCATCTGGAACTCTCAGACACATCTGGAAAGAATGCAAGATGGACCGGTCATTTTGAAAAACAGTTTCCTAGTTTCTTATATCTAAAGTTATACACATACTTACCATAGGACCCAGCATTCCCACTCCTAGGTGTTTACCCAAATGAAATAAAAGCTGGTGTTCATGCAGAAACATATGCATGAATGATTATTGTGGCTTTATTCACAATTGCGAAAAACTGGAAACAAAGTAAATGTTCTTCAACTGGTGGATAGATAAACAGGTACGTCTACACAATAAAAGGAATGGACTACCGATGCCTGCAACAACATAGTTGAATCTCAAATTTATTATGCTGAGTGAAAGATGCTAGACTCAAAGTCACACACTTTATAATTCCACTTATATGACATTCTAGAAAAGGCAAGACTACAAGGATAAAGAACAGATCAATGGTTGCCAGGGGCTGGAGTTAGGAAAAGAGGCTGACTACAAATGGGCTTGAGAGAGTTTTTTGTGGGGTGATGAAACTGTTTCATATCTCGGTTGTAGTTGTGGTTACATGACTATATACATTTCTCAAAACTCATAGAACTATCTATATACTTAAGAGTTTGGGGACCAGCCAAGTGGTGTAGTGGTTAAGTTACCATACTCAGCTTCAGTGGGCAGGAGTTCACTGATTCAGATCCTGGGCACAGACCTAGCACTGCTTGTCAAGCCATGCTGAGGTGGCATCCCACATAGAAGAAAAGAAGGACCTACAACTAGAAGATGCAACTGTGTACTGGGGCTTTGGGGAGAAAAAAAAAGAAAGAAAAAAGAGGCATCTTGGCAACAGATGTTAGCTCAGGGCCAACCTTCCTCACCAAAAAGCATTAAAAAAAAAGTGGATTATACTAAACATACATTATGCTATTATAAGAAAAGCAAAGAAAAAATAGAAGATGGGGTATGAACAGGTGCATCAGTAGCAGGGATAGAAAAGAGGAAAGAACTAGGTATTTATGAAATTGATTTTAAGGGCTTTTTCACCTGGTGCTGGGTGGTAAGGAAGAGATGACTCAAGGTTGGGAAATTAGGTGTTTCCATGTCTTGGCTGTTGTGAATAATGCTGCAATGAACATGGGAGTGCAGATATGGCTTCAAGACACTGGTCTCATTTCCTTCAGATATATACTCATAAGTGGGACAACCTAAGTTGTATCCATTATCTATGGATGAATGGATAAAAAACTGATATATATATATATATATTTATATATATACACACACACACACACACACACACATACACAATGGAATATTATTAAGCCATCAAAAAGGGAAATCCTGCAATTTGGGACAAGATAGATGAACCTGAAGGGCATTATACTAAGTAAAATAAGCCAGACATAAAAAGACAAATACTGTATGGTATCAATTATATGTAAAGTTGAAACAAAAAGAAGTCAAACTCATAGAAACAGAGAGTAGAATGTTGGTTACCAGGGACTGGGGATGGGGAAAATGGGGAGATGTTGGTGAAAGGGTACAAACTTTCAATTGTAAGATGAATAAGATCTTGGGGTTTAGTGTACAGCATGATAACTATAGTTAATAATACTGTATTGTATACTTGAGATTTGCTAAGAAAGTAGATCTTAAGTGTTCTCACCCACTCCCCAGAAAAAGGTAACTATGTGAGGTGAAGGATGTGTTAACTGACTTGATTGTGAAAAATATTTCACAATGTATATTTATATTAAATCGTCACATTATACACTTTAAATATATACAATTTTATTTGTCAATTACACTTCAAATAAATAAATCGTCAATAAAATAAAGCTCAAAAAAAAAGACTGGGCAATTGGATGTATGGTACAGGTATCCACTTGGACAGGTAAACATTTTATTTATTTACTTATTGAGATTAATAGACATATAACGTTATGTTACTTTCAGGTGTACAATAATGATTTGATATTTGTATATATTGTGAAATGATCGCGATAAGTCTAGTTAACACCCATCAGTGCACATAGTTACAATTTGTTTTCTTGTGATGAGAATTT